TGAGGCTGAGAAGCCCCAAGGTTGACAAGTAAAAAGACAAAGACCTGATGTTACCAAACCACACGGCAGGCCGTTGATTCAAGTTCATTGTAAGTCCCAAGGTCGGCAGAGCATGTCAGGCTGCTGAACTACTACATAGCTGTGTGCAGAGTCCAAGCGTGCCATAAGCTAGAGACCATTCCCCAAGGCTTCCGCTTAAATACAGGAAGCAGACCACATTCCCTAAGGCAGCTACTCAGCTGCTCCCAGTAGATTCCACCACGGAGTTGATAACCAGTCTCATCATGGGGAATACATCCAGCTGCCTAGTCACTCCACCAGGCCCAGCCAAGTTGACACACAAACTGAGCTACCACAGGTGCCAACTCAGGCCTGTTGATCTCCTTCTGAAGGGTCATAGCCTTTAAAACCTCAGAGCACTTTGGCTCTGACACACTTGGGTTCTCCATGAATTGGACTGATCTCAATGGCAATTCATCACAACATAACACTGATCGACATAAATTTATACTGTCATTCTGATCCAGCCACATAAAAAAATCTCAATTCCATTTTGTCCAGATTACACGTTAGAAAACACCTCGCTTGAGGTCAAAGCTGTGGCCCCTGGCTATCAGGAATCATACTCCTGGTCCTGGCTGCCTTGGCTCTAAGCTAATTGCTGTTTTGTTGTTTGCTGTTGAGTCGGACTCAACTCATAGTGACCTCTCCTTGGGTTTCCAAGGCAGTATCATTACGGAAATAGATTGCCCAACTTTCCTTCCAAGGAGCGGCTGGTGGGTTTGAACCGCCAGCCTTCTGGTTAGCAGTCAAGTGCCTTAGGCACTACACTACCAATATGTTGTTGTTGTTGTTGTTTGCTGTCGAGTCGGCCCCGACTCATAGCGACCCCTCCTTGGGTTTCCGAGGCAGTATCACTACGGAAGTAGGATTGCCCAACCTTCCTTCCGAGGAGTGGCTGGTGGGTTTGAACCGCCAGCCCTCTGGTTAGCAGGCAAGTGTCTTAGCCACTATGCTACCAGAGCTCCCCCTACACTACCAATATAGGTCACAATAAACACATTAGAAAACGAGAATATGACATTAGCAGGTATTTGACATTTAATAGCCTGGGTTTTCTTACTCTTCTTGGCTGATTTTTTAAATAAGAAAGAGAGGTAACCAAGATTCTTTTTTATAAAATTGTGATTTGGGTGAAAGTTTACAGAGCAAATTCATTTTCCATGCAGCAGTTCAAACACATTTTGTCCCATGACATTGACTGCAATTTCCCACGATGTCACAACTCTCTTTCTACTTCCTCTCCAGGGTTACCCCTTCCCTGTGTCCTTCTGAGGAAGGCTGAAATGGAAGTCTGAAGAGGTCCCTCACTGAAAACTCATGGGCTAGCAGGCATGACTAAAGTGGACTTTAATCACAGTGACTAACTCTCTGTTTTTCCCTCACTTATCACTTTCTTTCAAGTAAATAGAATAGCCAAACCCTTTTTTATAGATGCTGAGTTCTTTAGGTTTGCTATTCCCAATTAAGTATTCTTTGAATCATAACCCCCTCTGGCTAATTTCAGCTGAGAATCACAGCCCACAACAAGATGACCCTGAGAAAGAAGACACTAGGCCCTGGAGCAACCAAAATAAAAGAGAAACTGAGATATCCCTGGTGGACTGAAAGGCCTGAGGGTGCCCACTCCCCTACTCCCTTCTTCCCTGTACAGTTAATCTCACTAGACAGGTATGAGAAACCTGAAAAACACTTCTCCTGACCGAAGATATTTCCTTATCACTGACCGGAAAAAGAGCAGAGAGGACACAAGACAACTACACTCATCCCATGACAGGAAGGAAACATTAACAGCATTCCCCAAATCCCCCTACCCCTTCAGCTCAAATCCCTTTAAAAAAACTCTATTCCCCAGCTCAGGGAGACAGACGTTTTAGAGAAACGATTCTGTCTCCTTGAGTATCCACATTCAATAAACCTTTTGCTTTCTCTCTTCGACCTATTGTGATCATTGACTCTTTGCGACAGGGGTAAGGACCATGTTTTCATACACTTCCCTCCCATGCAGTCCTGCCCCTAGAGCGGTCTCCTTGTGCATATGCTGCCCTTCTGTTCTCCCATGATTGGTCTCTCCAAGGAGTGTTATCTGCATGATGTAAACGTTCAGCCCATATGCTGGTCTTTTATTTGGCTGGAAGCCACAGGAGTGAGTTCAATTCCAGACCTGAATGGTGGCTAGGGGCTATGGTCTCAGGGTTTCACCAGGCTCTATCAGACCCGCAAACCTGGTGTTTTTTTGTTTCTGTTTTTTATAATTTTGAGTTTTGTTGCACATTGTTCTCCCACTCTATCCAGGATCTCCTACATAGATCTCCCTCTGAGTGGTTGACAGTAACAGTAACAGTAACTCTGAGAATAAAGTAGTAATTAAAGGAAAAGGAGAAAAATGCAAAAAAAGGCCTTCCACTTAGTTTCTAATAATGTAACTAATAATGGTAGCTGGGCACCATCTAGTTCTTCTGGTCTCATAGTCATGTAGGCTGAGGATCACATGGTCTACTGGTCCCTTGGACTAACTGTTTCCATGCATCTTTGGTTTTCTTCATTCTTCTTTGCTCTCAACTAGAAGAGACCTATTGTTGCATCTAGATGGCCCCTTGCAAGCTTTTAAGATCCCAGTCGTTGCTCACCGAAGTAGGATGTAGAACAATGTTTCATGTAGTATGTTATGCCGATTGAGCTTATGTCCCCTGGGACCATGAGTAACCAAGATTCTTAAAAGACAAAGAATTATCTTAGACAAGCACTTTATTTTATATGATTTGGGGTCAATGGACAGATGGCCTGACATCCATATTCACTAGGGCAGTTGTCTCCTGTTTTTGCTTCTTCAGAGTCCATAGGTATAGAGAGACTAAAAGTGTTGGAAATACTGATTCAATTGGTTACAAACCACTTGTAGACTTCCTGAACAAAGGAATACAACTTCCTTTAAAAAAAAAAAAAATCACCTATTTACTAAATATTTAATCTTTGAAACTCTAGTAAGGGCCCAGGCTCACTGTCCGGTAGGTGGCTAGCTGAGTGAATTTAGGGGAAAAGTCTGGCTAGAGCATCCACTCACACAGCCTCATAACATAGGGGTCAGGAAAGAGGAGGTTCCAGGGCACCAGGAAAGCAGCAGCTTTTAACTACGTGAAGTCTAACCTGAGAGAGAACATGCCTTTCTCTAACAGGTGCAGCTTCCAACTTGTGGCAGGTGTTTTGACTTGTTGGTTCACAATCAATGGTGTCATGGGGATGGGGTAGGGGTGGTGGTGGTGGGGTAGTTTGAACCTCACTGGGTGACATTGGTAGAGGAGGGTTACACCAAAACAGCTGTCTACAAAATTTGTTTTCAGTGTTTCAGCAGAAATATATTACTATTTTTTTAATACAAATATCCCTATAGTTATAACAACAAAAATATTTTTCATAAGCCCAGCTTACATGTATCAGTATACCTACAAGGCTTAAACTATGCTACTTTCCTGTTTGAATGGTCAGAGCTGTCATTATTCCTCAATTACAATGACGCTTGGAATAAAGAAGAACGTGTTGTCATCGCACTTGGTACAAGCACGTGGTGTTTTTGTAGTCACTGATTTTGTCAAATTTTCTGGTGTTTTAGCTACGATATTGTGGTTACTATTTGTGAACCTATACCAGTAACTCTGAGAATAAAGATTAAACGAAAAGGAGAAAAATGTAAAAAAGTCTTCCACTTAGTTTCTAGTAACAGAACTAAAAATGTTATAATTCAATGTAGAAAGATTGTTACAAAACAAATTTGTTAATATTCATATAATGTAAGAAATACTAAATTTAAGCAATTTACAAGTGTATCACATACTATTCTATGATTAAATTGATAGTAAACATTACTAAGGTTTCGCTCCCGCGGAAGGAAGACTGGGCAATGTACTACAGTAAAGATTTTCGGCCTCAGAAACCCAAATGGGGGTCGCTATGGAATTGACTGGAAGGCAGTGAGTTTGGTTCTTGATTTAAGGATTCTGGATGATTTGGTACGGGAGGAGGTCCATAGGGGGTGACATCAACCCCACTGACGTCACTGTTCTCAATGCCAGGTTATCAAAATGCATGTATGTTCTGAGAGGACAGCTGGGCGAACTTTCTGGCCTGAGCTGCTGGGTGTAGGATCCACAGAGGTCCTGGTCAGGCGGGGAGGTCACGGTCAGGCATGGAGGGCTGGCTGGAGTCCACCTTCGCTGAAGATTTCGAGCCTTTGGGATGCATCTGGCCGTGAGCTCACCTCTTGATCAGCACCATACACTCTGGTACGACTGCAACCTGCCACGTTTTAAGAGACATCCCAGGCAAACCAGGAAGCCTGACCCCGGGGCGGGGCGGGGCGCCGGGGCATGCAATCTCGGACGAGTTTTCTCCAAAGCGCTCAGGCTGCAGGGCTGGCGTGCTCCTCGCAGAGGGCGTGCAATAGAGCCTGCGTGCGTCCGGCACTTGCCCACAGGCTCCTGGGCGCGCGGGTTTATTTTAAGCAGAGGTGAAGCCTGGGATCCGGGCTCCGCTAGCCCAC